CCAAAAATGACGGCTGACGTAAAACGAAAGAAGAAAATGTAATGACGATGATGAAAACTTAACCGTAATATAACATTATAATACCGTGACGAAAATGTCTCAGAATTTTAGAATTTAATAACACCCAATATCGTATCAACGAATGAATCACGAGGCGAAATAATGCTGAAAAAGGCTCGCTTTACTTATCACTTTTTTCAATAGATGTTAAGTTCAGCGTTACTACGAGGCAAGAAAATACTTTGAACTTTCCTAAGACGATAATAGTCGATATAAATATGTGACATCGTATCATACAACAGGAGGTAAATTTTCTACAAGTTGAAAAAGCCCTTCGAATGTGTGTTGAAAAAACCGATTATTAATTAAACGAGCGCTAAATATTATGTCTAAAGGTTTCAACGATATTCCTAACTTTCCTACAAACGGCTTAGCGTGTACGACCGCCATGTGTAGGATACTAACAAAGTAAGGGGGCAGACCGACGGTATTTTCTGCTTAGTAACATGCTACGAGTAAGCTGTGTTAATAAACATTTTCAGTTTTACGTCTGGTACTATCGTTAGGCGTTGCTCTATGAAGACGGCATTCGGTATCAAACATTCTATCTATGCCAGTGACAAACTTTTTTTTAGAAGGGAAGTTCGAACAGATTCAGAGTTGGAACTTCGTTGAATTGATAAGCTGATTGATAAATTGATAAGAAAGTAAAAACCGACACAGAGAGAGAAAGAGAGATCAAGCCAGAATCACAGAGCTATAGTTATGTGGCGTAATATTATCTAAAACAATAGCAGTGTCAATATAAAGGACTGTCCGTGACTAGAATTTTGTACAGTTTCAACGGAGGCCTTTAGAAAGGCTCGTTATTCATTTTCAAATCCTGAAAGAGAAAAATGTTATTGTTAATATTAGACATCACCAATAAAAAGTCGGAATCACTTCAAAATTTGACCAATGAATACATCCGCATTGGGAGTAAAGCCATCCGCTAGATATTAGCTATGAATGAGTTTCGCGAGAGCGTTAACACGATCCGATGGAGTTTGGAGAATGCGATAATAACAATATAAGAACACTGGTTTCATTCGAGGTAGCTTCTTAATAACGGAAAATATTTGATATCGGTGACGTCATTTAGCCTCAGCTACGTAACGACAACTAAGCGTTCAAAAAAGATCCTTTCACAAAATTGAGCTCTAATGGAACATTAAAAAATGGACCGTGAGAGCTCTTAAGTACCGTTCAGTGACTCTCTAACATTCGCAGACACTCGAGACGAAAAGAACAATTTCTGGTTCCGTGTTTTGTGCGCCTCTTGAATTAGATATGATGGATTAGATCGGCTTTCTTTCTCGCTGTCAGTATATAGAGCAATTGATAAGCTCATTGAAAAAAGATATTTACTTCAACTACTGGCATCAAAGCCCATCTAATCTTCGTTTAAGAAACAGAGTTCCCAGACGATTCTGGCTTCTGTCCAGATCGCCGGCAACTGAGATGTTCCACCGAGTCTCTCACCATTATCTTTATTAATGAATTTCTCGATGAGATTAATAATTAATTTGAATCGATGCCCTCACAGCGCTCGCTACTCGTATTTCTACCTTCCAATACAAACATGCTATTGTTAAGGAACACGTAAAACTGGATCCTGTTTAAAAAGAAAGATACCAATAGAAGTTTTCATAAATATACTCGTTTCAGAAATGAATAGTACTTAGGCTATACATATTACTTACGTGAGTACTGCAATGAGCTTAACCGCTAAAACTGATAAGATTAGAAATAAAACGAATTTCTTATAGTTAATACGGTTAGGTTATCTATATCTGATCTGATATCGGAGTAAATCAATTTACACATAGTACACATATAAATCTCTGAAATTGATTTCGAATCGTCCTCCCCCCCGCCCCCCACAAAAAGCGAATCAGATGCTAAGCTCGTTTCGAATCGTAATTTTACCTGGCGGGGTAAGGGGCGGGGGTGGGGGGGGGGGATAGAAGGGGGTACATTATGCAAAATGAAATGGGTGCCTTCAAATTAGCACCGAACTCGACACTAGAATCGCAAACGATAGGGATTAGATTTTATCTTACGATAAGAGCAACTTTCAGATCTATACGCTCTTCGACCGTGACGAACATCAGTGTACATATCCGAAACGTCTACGCCTGCCCTTGTAAGAAAAAAGGCCTGTTGGTGTCCAATAACGGAAAATAATACGGCACTCCCTAATGCCGCCAAAGCGGATGAAGGCAACGAACAAGGGTGACCTTAAGGCCTGTGTCTCCTAAAACAGATTTATCTAGTGCCCAACCTACGAACAAGTGCGGTTTTTAATGACGAAAATTCAAAGCGAACTCGTTGGCATCCAAGATTGTCATATGCGCATACCTTGCGCACGAGTCGACGCGTTCATAGTGAAACAATAAAGCCTCTGCGGACATAGTAGGCGTAACGACGGCCGCTGCACTCAATGCTTCTGCTATTCTTTTCGCCATGTTACCTGTTGTGTTCCAGTTGCTCACATTACGTTTTTGCCTTTTTTGCTTCTCTACTTTGCTATCCACCTGATTTTTCCGAACATTTTCTTCAACGTCACTTCACGTACGATTTACCTCACACCTCAGCCGTTTGTATTTTGTCATCAACGCTATAGCAGTTCTCTCACGTAAGTTGTAGGTTTTCCAAGTTAGAAAATTATATTGTGACACGACCCACTCATTCTATTTTAAATTACTTATTGCACAATTATTTGCGGTAAGCCCAATCCGATCTGAGCCCTCAAGATCGATGTATGGTCGATAACCGCGAGGGTTCTAACCTTGCGAATAGGCAAGCTCAGTTGTTGCTTCCATACTCACCTCACATTCTACATTCATGCCTGGCATGGCATGGCATGGAAAAAAGTGTTCACAGATCACTTAATATTTTTATCCTAAATTTCTATTTATCGTCCGAGATTTCGTTTGGGAAATCGGTGTTAAGTGGAAGAAAAATATAGAACATGAAAATCAAAAACAGGGTCTACAGACCTAATCTAATACACAAAGGCATATAAGCACCGTTACGTGATGGCCGTGTGGATCTACAGGATGCAGAAGCGGTATTTCAAGCACAGGGCTCATTAATGGCAAGACGATAGTTAACTTTGAACGTATGCACCTATCGGCTACAAAAAATTCATAAAACATTACTAAGAGAGAGGGCAACCACCTGCGTAGAAATAAAAGTACATTAGATGAATTAGAAATGAAAAATTAATTCATTGATAACGGGAAAATATGTTGCCAGCTTCCAAAATATTTCAACGACAAAAGTCATATCGATGGCGACGTTTGTCACAGTACAAACACAAGAATCGAAACATGCCAAAAATGGTTACTGTTATTTCTGTTGAAACAATTCAGCAACAGGATCAGCATGGCCTATCCAAGTGAAAGGTTATTCAATAGGTCTTCTTAACCATATAAAGGAAGACTATAATTGAGGCGCAACGATGTGTTTACCACGTTTTTTTACGTACAGGTCGAATTGTTTGTTCAAAGCAGATGCTGAACTAATGGTGGAAGCCGCTGAAGCGTCGCGGAGCTTTATAAAGATAACTGCTCCTCCTGCACAGCAAATATTTGAAAAGGGGACATCAACGACCGGAGGACAACGTTGAGATTTGTCTGTGGTCGGTTTCCCGGGTGATCGTCTGGGCTTAACTGATTTTTCATCTATCGACGACCCCCTCTTAGTCTTACGAAGTATTGATAACAGATTCTAAATGATTGTCATGATGTTTTTTGATGACGCTTTAACTTGCTGTACCTTTTAATTGACTGCCGATCAGCCGAGGAACTGCGTAAGCCCTTTCGATTAACTTCTTGGCACTTGATAAATTTTCATATCAGCAAAGCGCGTGCTCGAAACGCTGTGTTCAAACGCCCTGGAGATAGCTCTGCGTATGAACGTAGTTAGCTTGAGGGAACCGGCCACTACACGAGGCGCTAAATTAATGACATGCTATTTTCGAACTCATAATCTGAATATCAGCTTTTCATTCGGATATTCCAATTCATAAAAGCTGAAAAATGTTTAACTTTCTTTTACCTTATTAAAGTTAACTTATTAAAGTTGGAACTTTTGTCTTTTGTACAGTTGTTTAGCATTCCTATATGAAAATAAATTTTCTCCGAAAAATTTACCCTTTCGCGAGTTTACTAATGACTACCTTTTCAACATGCATTAGACAGACCTGAAGCCTTCTCATGCGGTAGCAAAGGCTAAATCCTTAGTATCGGTATTCATATAAAGGGATAAATAGTAAAGGTGAGCTGAGGTTTGAAAAAAAAGTCCATCAAGCCTAAACACTTTGGGGTTTTCAAGCTCATTTGCAAGTGGTAGTGACAGTCGTATTGACCCCAAAGGTCAAACGAAAGGCAAAATTATCTATAAAAAGGAAGTGGACAGTTGAAGTATTGATTATGCGACAATATAAAACTGGAATTTCTGTACCGCGTAGATAATATGGGGAGAAGGGCTAAAGGTATATACTCTATATTTGATAGAATGATATTGACAAATTAGCCAGAAAAGCAATCGGAATCACTATAGCATTACTAGCTATTCGCAATTATGGGACAATTCTAGTTAATGGTTCATGAGACTTATTCCGTAACGAGCGAATATCAGTATTTGCTAGCCTCCAGGAGCACAAGATACGTTAAACTGAAACCGGACGGGTACACTAATTTCATCGTTTGGAAGCATCATTTCATGGTAGCCACGCGTATGGTGGGGCATGCTCGCGGCGAGCGTGATGGGGAGGGGTAGCTATCGAGGAAGGGCAAGATATTTCCTCTTCTCTTTGCTTGGTCAGAGCGAGGACCGCATAGGAAGGAAAGGGTAACCGCGCGCATACCGTTCTTCGCATGGGCCCCATCGAAGCAGGTTTGACGTTGGCGTCCGCGTATGAACGACTCCATTGTGGCGTGTGCTGCTAACGTTTGATCTTTAACGCAATTCCGGATAGACAGTATTTATAGTACGGAACCATTATCTGCGGCAAAATCGACTATCGGTCAGCCCACGATATCTCGCAATAATTTTTGGAATCTGTATATTAAATGCCGTGTTAGCACCATAGTAGCGTACGTAATCGGGCGGGAAGAAGGTAGTTTTTTGTGTCTATCGCCGCAGTGCCCCTAAAAATACTGCTAATCTATTGGGATTGATGTTGATTGGTGGAGGTTGTCGCTATAGCAAAGTAGTTGTTGTGGTTTCACGTCTACGTCGTGCCCCACATAATCACTTTGAATGGAAAGTTGTGTTTAAGGCATTAATTCTTCAGGCTACTTACAGATCTATCGTCCGGGTCAACAGAACGACAATATCGTTCTTTGGTAACATCATATTACAGAAGTTGGATACGGCAAAACTTAACTCATGACAGTAGCTGTAGAAGTGCTTCCGGATTGAGACCTAGAAAGAGGCAAAATTATTATGTCTGCTCAGGGCAAAACAAGGCGCGGAACATCTGTTGTTCTCATTGTGTGTTGAAATAAAAAAAAAAAAACAACAAGAGCTACGTGTTGTGAAATGTAAACAGAATACAGTTACCTCTAGAGTGTCCATAGTGTTCAGGTTTGCTTGGTACAGGTCGGTTGTCGTACAGAGATTTCGCGCCCCCCGGCGTTACCCCTAACACGGCCACATGATAGCAGTTGTGGATTAATAATACGAAACAAACTGCTACACCAATGACAAGGGATCGCCTATCGGTGGTGTTGTTGTGTAATCATTAAGTGTGTTATGCTTATCGTTAGTTTCATTGTTGTTGTTGTTGTTGTTATGTTGTGGCATAGCAAGGGATCATACAGCACGGATTGCCATAGCTGCATCTGCCGCTAACCCCTACCCCTCACCGTGAACAGAAAAGGAGACGAAAAATAGCTAAAACAGCGAAACAGTGCATTTAGGATACTAGCGCAAAACTAAACGCACCCTGACCACCAGCTATAACAGAGATCAGTCGCGTCTCTCTACCCCTTTTGAATCGCTAACGCGTTACCCAACGATGTACCTATGTCGAGTACATCGATAATCGTTGGCGATTTACTGAGGGCAGCCCCCAGGTTGCAACTGCAGTGGTCGAGACACCCCGCGACCGGATTGTTGCGTCACAGCGGCAACGCCACAAGGGGAACTCCAGTAGCGGCTGTAGACATTGGTTGTCGACGGACGACAAGGTAATAAGTAAGTAACTGTCCAGTCGAACAAAATCTCGGATCAACGAGTTAAGGCTCGACGATTACGGAAAGTGAAGAACACGACCCCTGAGAAGATGATGGCGTTCGACCCAGTTCTGCTGAAGATCTGGCTATTGGTGACTTTATTGACAATGGTGCACGCCCACTTCGGTGAGTTAAACGTCAGTCGAAAGGAGCTGTAAATGAAGGCGTTATATTGTATAAACAGCTCCTTTGTATTGTGTTAACTTGTTGACCTAAACAGTTTTGCCTTCTATATAAAAGATAGCAGAAGTCGGTTTTAAGTCCGCCGAACGGCTTAAGAGCTATATAATATACGTGGATAAAAAGTTATATAATAACTTTTGTGGGAAATAACATTTCATGTGAGAGGAGACTACGAACTGTTACATACGGTACGATTTATATGTACTTTTTATGGAATTTAGATTGTACAATGAATACTTAATAATGTTCTGAACCGTAGCGTCCTTAAGGCTTCATATTGCTTAATTAGTTTAAGTAGCTGATATGTTGTTCAAAGTTGATTCAGTCAGGCAGCTAATGGTGACAAACGGTCATCGCTAAAAATGACGGCCAATCTGCCTGTTAAGCCCCTCACATTTAAACAATCCTAGCTAGCATCTTGTACCATTAATCACTGAGTTCCAGTTAAGTTTCGTCATAGCTTTCTGCATTATTATTGTTTCGTAACTGTATGGTCTTGTCGAACCTTAAAGGGAATTGACCGGTGTTGTAAATACAGGACGGTGGCAGAAACGTGAAATTTCTTTGATTAATGTTTGCATCAATTAAACTGAAGATGAAGGCAATGAATCGCCTCAGAACCGATCTGAAAAGAGCCAATTCCAACTTTTATGGTTCCCATCGACTAAACAGAGTTTTGTCACAAATTGATATGCACAACACTGTGGGACACACACTGCCACATTCGTCTATCTCTCTTATAAAGGGTAACATAAAAAAAGAGGACATTTCGAAGTTTTACTCGCAATTCGAAAATATCAATCTCGAGGGTTTGATATAACCTTGAACTTCTACTCTGTAGGGTATTAGTATTGTAATATATACGTATATATAATAATAGTATTATAACCTTCTTGTGCGGTTATAAGCGACTGTAGCAGGCGTCGCATCGAAATAACGCGTATCGGTTATCGGCACTGACAATGTCAGGATTACTCTTCTTTCCGTGGGCAAAAATAGCGAAGGCGAAACAGGTCACGTTCGAATAGTGTTAAACATTACCTCAACGAACACCTCAATCAAATAACAAAATCATTGATCCCGCAACTTCCTACTGAAGACTTCAACATTTCGTACGCCAACCGCCTATGGGGTATGAAGCCATACGTTTAAGCAGAGTCGATTCCACTGATCGATGTTATTAGACATATTATGTACATTATCGCATATGAAGTTGAAAGCTCGATTAAGAGATACAAGATTTCTATCTATTTTCGATCAAATGTTGTTTAACCAGAGAGTAGCCATGTCGTGACAGGCATTTCTCTTGATTAGGAACACTTAGCTTAATGAAGGTTATCCAAACCGCAAAAAAGCCGTTATCGAACCGACGATACCAAAATAAATTTTATTAGAGTTTGTGACCAATAGCCCATCTTTACCAGTAGAGTACCAAGCAAAACGATAAGCGAAAATCAACGGTAAAAGAGGAAGGTAGAACCGTTTATATATCACCTATATACGTAACCTACGACGTATACCTCACATTAAAGTATTTTAGTGAAGCAACCAATTAACAAGAAACTGACAGGCTGCCATTAAGGTTTGCTTCCACAAAATGGCTGGGAGTATTTGATAAGTTATTATTGATCATTCCGTTTAATAGGTAGAAATGTCCTTCAGAAGCGGTCACGGAGCAGAGACCGGAGTCAAGAACGTCAAAACGATTGAGAGTGGCGCACTCAGAACAAGAACGGAAGCTAAATACAATATCTGTTTCACAGTAGATCGTAGAGGGAACAACTCGTAATTATTCGCGTCCACGTCAGCATATTCATTGAGGCCTGAAAAACAAACCCCTTCGAGCTGCTAGATTCTTCGCCGTCCGTTCCCCGCACGCTAGCATACTAGACGAAGCCATTCCAATAAAAGAATATTAACGCTGTATTGCAAAAATCTTGAAAAATTCAGTATCATTTTTGCGAGGAGAATATAATGGTATGGAGAAGCAGTAGATGTAGCATCATAGTAGCGTACATCGGCCCTCCGAGCAGCGAAAACGTGATCATCTTGAACGACAATATCATGCACTACTTTCACTGGCTACCCTGTTCGTACATGCTGGTAATATAAGTACTAACACTGGCAAACCGAACAATTCCTGGACTCACATCATATTAGGTTTCCTCAGCGACTTCGGATGCCAGCTACTCCCTCATACCAATACGCTAACGTTTGGAAGTCATATGTGAAGATCGTTAATCGGCATATTTGTATCCTATTTGACTTAATTTATTCCTATAGGAGATGCATTGTGTATGTCAGAGATCAATACAGACTATTGTCGTTGTGTTTGTTCGACAAAATTTTTAATAAATTTTTGCAGGAGGCATAGTTTTGTAAAAAAAATGCTGTATTTAATTAGGCCAACATTACAAGAAAATGATGTAAGCACAGTTAACAGAATAGCTCAGCCTTTCGTTCAACCAGCGCGCATTGGACGGGGTCATAACCTAATCCCCTTGCCATTTTCTCCTCTGCTGAATGACCTGTCACTCCGTATTCAGGATCTGGTGGGAGAGCTGAAAACGTTCTGTATCCTAAAGATCTTTGGAACGAGTAAGTCTCACGTTCAGCAAGTTATCACGAAGATGTCGTGCTACGTAGATGAGGTCACCATGGACAAAGCAGAAACCACGAAGCTCTTCCACAAAGGCTGCCGTGCTGACATGCTCCGAATAACAACTTGATGTAGCTGTACATTACGTACGACAAATACGCTTCGAGTACCTCGAACTGATTGCTTCCTACAGAAGCCAGGTTTCCTAGAAACAACATTCATGAATTGTGATTCGTATGACTTACCCAAAACAAATTTTCGTTTCTAATGCGAGCCTTCATCGTTTATCGCTGAACAGACGCAAACAAACACGTGTACTGTCTAGACGGCGCGTCGCTGTTCATAAAACTAAGACACAAACTCAAACTCTCCATAAACCCTGCCTATTCGAAGTTTATCATTCCATGGGATGGCAGAGATCGATTCTGTCTTTTGTAATACGAGTACAATGACTATTGAAGCTCAGAAACGGTCGGACTTACAGATAGCTACACGTCTTGGAACACGTGGGTTTTACTACATTTACAAATAGAAGGCTTTCGTTTGCCGTGGACTAAATGTATTTTGTGTAGCGACCTCGTATGTTATTGTGGATATATACTGAGTGCCAAAAGCGTAGTGGACACGGAATAGTTGGGACGACAGACGGATTATGCACCCTATTGTCTTGAACAGGTGCTGTCAGGGTCTTCGAACTTTGTCGGTTGTCATACAGGAATCCCACTCTTCTTGGTTCTGGACATAGACAATGCTAATTAGATACGCAATTTACGGCAATGAAAGAAGAGCTAGAGTATTTCCGCACTTCTGAGACAGGACGAGAGATGGGAACAGACTTAACGGGTTTCGATGAGAATAAATCTACCGATGACCTGCTTCATACTGAGTAACATCGCTTGTGGAAAGGATAACCCGAGTCTTGTTATCTGTGATAGATGTCTTTGTCCAGGATTGCCATCACAGAACATTAGTCGATGCCGTGTTAGCTGTTATCAGGTCAAAATAAAATATTGTCCAAAAATAGCAATTCTTCATATGAATTCGAAGCTTTATTTTACCTGTAAATTGATTGTGATTCATATATTTACTCGTGACTCATTAAAATTTGGTGTGCCGTGTAAAGACCTGACCCAATATAATCAAAGGACCAGTTATAACTGACGTTTTTGATTTAAGCAGAAGTTCGTAACTGTAGGTGTAAGCGCTAGATTTCTAGAAGTTTTCACTAGGCTCTTACACGATACAAACAGGTGCTATTCAGGTAGCATACTGGAGTTAAACCTTTTGACAAACCTTTTAGGCTATTTAACGAGAGTAAGGCATCAAATAAAAATTTTCTACGGTGAGATTTCAATAACATCAAATATACGGAATGCGGCTAACCTAGCAACAGCTACGAAAAACTCCTTATGCCTTTTTTTTTTCTTTTTTTTATTTAAGAGTTAAGCTTATTTTTACGAAGAGCCAATGCTTTTTTGTTAGCCAAATTATATCGCTACGGCATGGCCAGAAACACAGATATCTTTTACCGTCTTCGAGTTATCTATTCCTTGTGCCATTCTTACTGAAGACAATATCTATATTCAAATAGTAGCTTCGTTGGATATAATGCACACCAGTTAGTGGACAAACGTTTTTTTCGTTAATTACATTCACAATATAGAGAAATCCTCTTAAAAAAAAAAGACTGCTCGCATCGGCAACAGGTTCGCAGGGGGGTAACTTACGGCTGTCTAACTTTATCGTCGTGGCAAATTTATTTGACTCTGCTTTACGGCCAGCGATAGATCTAAAGACACCGCAAATATAGCTGGCTGGTCACATTTTCAATACCAATTCAAATACCTACAAGGCCGAATGTTCAGCTAGTTTCCGCTGATTAACGGTGCGTTCGTATCTTTTTTTAAAAGCCTAAAGGGAAGACGAGACTTTATAAACTTCAGATACGCCTCCCTCGTTAACTATATGATTAAGCTAAAATTAATTAATGTACTAATTGCTTGAAATTTAATGGCGACAAGGAATCGTAACTATTCATTTAGAATCTGTGCCTCGTTGTTTCCGGCTATTGACCGTGAGTAAATATATCTTAAGAAACCCTCCGTCTGTAATAAGTTAGTTATACGTAGCCTATATGTAATCTGATTGAATTCAACAACGATCGTCCGGTAGGTTTCCTTTCACGGAAGTAACTTACCCGTTACCTGAAAATTAGCAATGCAATCAACTATTTTCTATATTGTTTTTATTCTACGAAAATATCACATTTATAATACCATTGATATCTATCTAATTAATTTTGTATCTCATCTTAGGTTAACGTTAGCAGCCGTCTTAAGACGCT